CGCTATTGTAAGCGAGCGCGCATTCTGCTTAATCTACGCTCCGGAGGAACCAACTTAGGCGCGCGGATGGCGCTGACCACCACAGAAATTTTGGGGGTAACCGACAGTTCTAGGAAAAGTAATGCATTTAATTCTGTTACCATGTGCTGGTCCGTTACCTCATTCTTTTGGGCTACAAATTATTATTTTTTTTTGAAAGTGGCTACTAATTATTGAAAGTAACAGATGTAGTGTACACGGTAATAAAGTTAGTTTTATTACCGGGCAGTGAGATATGTAGTAAACCTGGCCGAGATATGTAGTAATGTATTACTACATGCTCACAAACTGGCAGTAGTAATTTCTCTTGTAGTGGATCGTAAAGCAAACAGATGGGCAGTGAGATATGTAGTAAACCTAGTGTGGACATGTCAAAATGTATTACTACATGCTCACAGTAGGAAAAAAAAATGGAGTGCATGCAAATTACTAGATGGTAATATCATTACTACTACTGCAGGCCCAATTTACTGATGGTAGCAATTAACTGTTGGGCTCTTTTACGATGCGACGATCGTCAGTTACCATAAATTAATGGTCCAAGTGCGAGGTGTTGGATATGTTAACTTGATCGTAACGCGTTACTATTGATTTTTTCGGAGGAACGCGGGCCTGGTTAAGTGCATGTACAAGGTTTTTTCGGAGGGGTTTTTGGAGAAGCTGGGGAGGGGATCGATTCTGGTAGAATCGCCTAAAAGAAATGGCCCTTAGTCAGTTTTGGGAACCGATTCAATAATAAATAAGACAAGTACTAGTACAATGAAAGCCATCGTACAGTGCCCATATACACTACCGCGGATTTACTCACTCCGAGTTGGAATGAGCACCGCGGCAACCACCTTCGGCTCCCCCAACCTCGCACCAGCGTCCCACTCCTTCCCCTCCTGCCGCCTCCTCTCTCATGGCTTCACCGTCGCTGCAAACCGTCGGGTCTCCCACGCGTCCGCCCGGGCCTCCCCTGCGGCGCCGCGCCGGCGGCCCGAGTACGTCCCCAGCCGCATCGACGACCCCAACTACATCCGCATCTTCGACACCACGCTCCGCGACGGCGAGCAGTCCCCGGGGGCCACCATGACCAGCGCCGAGAAGCTCGTCGTCGCGCGCCAGCTCGCGCTCCTCGGCGTCGACGTCATCGACGCGGGCTTCCCGGCCTCCTCACCGGACGACTTCCGCGCCGTGCGCTCCATCGCCATCGAGGTTGGGAACACGCCCGTCGGCGGCCACATCCCCGTGATCGGCGGCCTCGCCCGGTGCAACAAGAGGGACATCGATGCTGCGTGGGATGCCGTGAAGCACGCCCGGCGCCCCCGCATCAACACCTTCATCGCCACGAGCGAGATCCACATGCAGCACAAGCTGCGGAAGACGCCCGAGCAGGTGGTGGCCATCGCCAGGGAGATGGTGGCCTACGCGCGCGCTCTTGGATGCCCCGATGTAGAGTTCTGCCCCGAAGACTCCGGCAGGTATGCGTACGATTCAAATTTTTTGGACTATTATCAAGTATACCCTACTAGGAGGTCGGTCGATGGAACGACATCAAAAACCCCTCACCCTGAACACCCTCCCAGCGCTCTGCAGGTCTTTTTACTGAAGAAAAAAAAAACCCAATTTCGTCTGGGACTAAGGCAAACTCTAACGCACGACTCCAAACGAACGTCTCTTTCGTCTGTTTGGGACAGGAAAACGGACGCCGCCGTTCGCTTGCGGTCGTGCGGCCATAGATGCGCCCAATCGGCACGACTCATCCCAAACCGTCCACACGTTCATAGTACCCAAATTCAACGCAGTTCTTAATTAAACTAAAACTTTATAAAAGACATAAATTAACTAGATAAAGATCTGTCGCCCGTGGCTACCGCCATCTTCAGGAGCCACTGTCCTACTCGTCGTCGTCGCCGGTGAGGTCGATCGTACGGAGGTGACTACCCAAGGTGGGCAGAAGGCGCCTGCACCACCTCCTCCCGTGGCTCCCACTCCTGCTCTGGTGACCGCGGCGACATGACTGACCATGGGCTGACACCCACTGAGGCGACCATCTCGGCGTCGTGCACAACCAGCTCCGCCGCTGGCCCACCAGATGCGGGTTCCACGTGGCAATGGGGGGCTCCTCCACCTCCTCCTCCTCCCGCACCTCCTCCTTGACGGCCATGTCTAGCTCCGGGATGGCCACGTTGCCAGCCACAAAGAGGGCCATCATGGTTTCGAGGCCCTCCCATTGACGCTCGTCGTGGGTGTTCATGGAATCCTCCATGACATGTCTCATGAGCTCGGCCTCCTCCTCCTCGGTCATGGGAGGTGGCGGGAGCGATGACGGGGACGGAGATGGCGTCGGCCTGACGTCGCGCACACGCCTACGACCGCGCGTTTGGGGCGGGCTGTCAGCATGAGCAGGGCGCGGGCTCGGAGGACGACCGACGAAAAAGGATTGTCGCCATAGTTCGTGCTCGTCGCGAAGCCACGTATCCCATAGTGGTGAATCCATGGCGTAGCCGGGGTCGTAGAGCAGATCCTCTGGCAAGCGGGATCTGGCGTCGGTTGATCTCGTCGCGGCGGGCGCGGCCGCTCACCGGCACTGGTGGGATCGACACACGATCGGTGGAGAGATGCCAGTTGTTGGGGAGGTCGATATCTCCCCACTGGAGTGGCGTCGCGGTCTCCCAGTAGCGCCGACAGACGTCGGCGTGGACGTGCGGCCTATTGCGATGCCCGGCCGCTGGAGGCACGATCTCAAACGCGGGCGGAGCAGGTAGTGCAGGCGGAGAAGGTGGTGCGGGCGGCGTAGACCTGTTGGTGCGGCGGCGACCAGAGGAGGAGCCGGCCTGATGGTCGTGCTTCCCCTTGTTGATCCCAATGCCAGCCCATGGCGCCAGCGAGGAGGTGGAAGCGACGGCAGCGGCTAGGGTTTGCTACCTCGTGTTGGGGGAGGAGGAGGCAGGCGGGCTTGGAAGTGGAAGCTGTGGACTGGCCGGTCCATGGCTTCCACATTAAGAAGGACGACGATCCACCAGTTGGGTGACTGACAGACAGGGCTCGCCGCGCATGCGTATTAATTTTGGGAGGTCGAGGTAGTTGGACGGCCGCCATGCGTCCCCAAGGCGGACGAGGAGCAATCGCGTGCGCGTCCTTTCGCCGTTTGTGTGGACGCAAACCAGGCGCAGGTTTGTGCCGAAAATAGGGCGGGCGGGACGTTAACCGGACAAATTATGTGGATCCGATCACGCATTGGGTCTGTTTATTTGGAAGCCAAACAGACAAACACGGACAAGATGGATCGTGCGTTGGAGTTGGCCTAAAAAAACTCAGTCTTTGCTTCTTTTTTAAGATCACTCGCTCATTCTTTTGTTGTGACTAATAAAGCCCAGTTTTTTGCCATGCTATGAAAAAGGTGCCATGGCCCAAAAATAAAGGGAAATAAACTTGACATACATAGAATGAAAAAAATATACCTTGGATTGTTTTAGTAAAATTTTCCATGGTTCGAAAACAAAAAATGTCAATAGACCATGAAAAAAGAGATTGTCATCATCTTTAAAGCAACGTTTGCCATGGTTCAAAAAAAAATCAATAGCACAAGAAAGGAAAAGTCATGGTAATTTGCATCGGTAGAGTGACAAAAAATATGCATTAAAAATTGTGAGGTATTTTACTATATACATAAAGACACAAAAAATGTGGATTAAAAAATCGCCATCATGTAGAACACGAAAAAGCATATCATATATTGTTTGGTAGTAATTGCCATGTTTCATAGAGTAAATTTACCACGGTCCCATAAAAGATGAAAATATAAAAAAAATCATGGATGTAAAGTGAAATTTGCCATGGCGTTAAAAAGGAAATTTTGTCACGGTCCACGCAAGTTAAATTGGCACGAAAAAAATAAATAATAATTTTCCATGAGCGATTAAAGTAAAATATGTATTTAAAAGCAAAGAAAAAAAGTTAACCGGCAAACCATTGAATATTAGTTATAGAAATATAGCACAATTTTCAATCATCAATCTGAATGTTTCATATGGTAGCAATAATCAGTAGATCTATTCTCTAAAATGGCATCCTTATATGCATCAGCTCGACCAAACATGATATCTAGTTTTGAAGGTCTCATCGCGAATGATTTTTTTAATGTGAAAATGATTTTCCAATCTAGTATGCCTCTGTTGACCCATGTGAGGCCACTCGCTGTTGGGAGCCACCGAAGCAAGGATGGGTCAAGCTAAATTGTGATGGGTTCGTTTGATCCATGTGACAACTCAGCGGGAAGTGACATGGTGCTAAGGGAGGACGCAGGCACAATCATTTATAGATCCTGCCGACAGCTCTTCTCATGCCATGATGCTTTGCAAGCCGGGTTGCTTGCATTAAATGAAGGCTTGAATCTGGCTTTACAATGGAGTAATCTCCCTATTGCTGTGGAAACGGATTGTCTGGAGGCATCCAATCTTTTGAAGGCCAGTGACATTGATAGATCACGGTTCACATTTATAGTACTCCCTCCGTTCCAAATTACTAGTCGTCGTTTTAGTTCAAATTTGAACTAAAACGACCACAAGTAATTTGTAACGAAGGGAGTAAATGAAATAAAAAGTAAAATATATGTATTACTCATGTACATCGTGCTCAAAATCAGGCAAGCCATTTGTTGGGGAACTTTGGTAGATTACATAGACGTACTATCGTCTGGCTAGGATCAGGACCTGATGAGGTCGTCGAACAATGTCATGCTGAGTGTAATCCTACTAGTATTTAAGTAATACAAAGTATTTCCCTGCAAAAAAAATGTACATAGGAAGAAGAGGGAGTCATTCTAATACATACATGCATGTAATTAAAGGGGAGTAGGAAGGCATTCGTATCTATCGCTTAAAAACGGAACAGACGTCATATATTGTGGTTCTATAGATAAATATAAATATAATTTTGTGGTTTCATTTGACATATTTTTCGATATGGAAAGTGATTACTTAGTTTAATTCGATTATTCTTTGTAATATAGTAGTAAGTTATTTTCTTATTTTGAGGGAAATAAGTTATTTTATGGTGGTTCATAATTGTGCGCATACGCGTATGTCATGATCGGTTTCTGTTTGTCATCCAGGTCAAATAAAGAGTTCCTTTATCATATTCTAGAGGAAGTCATACAAGCTGGAGCAACAACCATCACCATTGCGGATACTGTTGGGTCTAATCTTCCTGTTGAATACGGCAAATTAATTGCTGACATAAAAGCTAATACTCCTGGGATTGATAATGCCATTATTTCTACTCATTGCCATAATGACCTTGGCCTTGCAACTGCCAACACATTGGCGGTACTCCCTTCATTTATTTGTACCACCTAATATTATCATTTGTCTAATCATGCCACTACTAATTTCACTAGCCTCTAGGGTGCATATGCGGGAGCACGGCAGTTAGAGGTTACTATTAATGGTATCGGTGAAAGAGCTGGAAATGCTGCGTTGGAGGAGGTGTGCCCTATAATATTTCTGGGCACTGCTTCATGTTCTTCTTCTTTTTCTTCTTTTTTTTTTGCAAAATTCATGCTCGTTTGAATGAGTTGTAAAGTTTAGGAATGTGGTCCGATATGGCTTCAGTACTTGCTAGCTACATGTCTAATATTTGACACAATTTCAGGTTGTCATGGCACTTAAATGTCGCCCGGAACTCTTAGATGGCATGTATACTGGAATTAATACCCACCATATTACTATGACAAGCAAAATGGTACAATTTTGTGTCATGGACGCTTTTTTCGGATACCTTTTGCATTTCTTACAAACTGAAATTTCTTGTGAAAAATGGTCTAACTATTCTAGGTACAAGAGTACAGTGGACTTCACGTACAACCTCATAAAGCTATTGTTGGTGCCAATGCCTTTGCTCATGAAAGTGGAATTCATCAGGTGACTAATTTTGCAGTTTCTTATTACCATTGAATTTCCTAGATGGGTTTTTTAGTATGGATGGGTTGACATCTTCCGTTTTTATAGCATAACTCCAGTTCGCTTCATTATGTTAATTCGATTTTGTAACTTTGGTTCTTATTTATGACTATACAGTTTACCGCTTAACAATATTTTTGCGAATTTGAATGCTTCTGCCATCTGTTTACATGCATGTGACGACTAGGAAAACTTAGCTTAACTGTAATAAACATGGGGCAATCAATTTTTTTTGTGAATGTAGTTAACTTGGGAGATTATTTTAGTTCATTTGTGATTGATTAATCACATTTAGTATAAACTATACCTTGGATGCTCATTCTAAGATGTGCTAATTTTCATTCCCTGTCGGTGTGCATCATTGTTATATATATTTTACTGTTATATAATTTCAGGTTGGTTCATGAACTAAATGGCTAAATCTAAATTTTGTCGGGTATTTTTTCAGGACGGGATGCTTAAATACAAAGGAACTTATGAAATAATATCACCTGATGATATTGGTTTAACACGTGCCAACGACTCCGGTATTGTTCTTGGGAAGCTGAGGTATCATGCAAGTGTCACCCCCACCCCCATGGTTAATGTAGTGCAAAGAATCTTCTGTGATGTCCCTTGGTTTTCATCTCTTTGATGAACTCTAGTAATTGGTGCACGTTCCAATGGCCTAATCCAAACGCTTACACTTTGAGTATTTATATAATATGATAAACCATTCGCTTTTATACTAAAATCTATGACATACTATATATTCATGAAGTTGAACATGGATCACTTCTCATAGAGGAAACCTCCACTACTTTTTGTTTCTTTACTATATGTATAAATCGTCAAGGTGTTCTAGAGTTACTGAGGTCGAATGTATCTGCCATGTTTACTCTTTTAGATTAGCCAAACTCGATATTAGATTACATATTCCCATTCGTAATTATGCTTTCTGATATTCTTTTTCAGTGGAAGGCATGCTGTTAGATCTGTACTAGTGGAGGTATTGCTCTAAGAGGTCTTCTTGACCTTCATTTTCAAGTTACAGCAGGAGGTCTTCTTTTCCCGATTTTATAGTGACACCTTTTTGCCAAATGTGTAGCTTGGATATGAGATCAGTGACAACGAATTTGAGGATTTTTTTAAACGCTACAAAGAGGTTGCGGAGAAGAAAAAGGTGGTACTTGATGCATCATATCGTTTCAATGATATTCTCAACCTTTTTAATTCTCTCTAATAATCAGGCACTAATTGATAATTAAGACATCCATTGATTTCATTTGCCAGTAACCTTTGGTTCTATATTTTGTTACTCAACAAGTACATTGTCTTTATATATGTTACTCATTTGAATGGTTAGTTAGTTTCCTTAGAAAGTTGTGTCCTGATATTTGCTTGCGACTATAGAAGTCTACTATACATAGCAGTTGACGAGTTATTCTCATTATTTGTAGCGTATAAATGACAAAGACATCAAAGCATTACTATATGATGAGATATTTAAGCCCAAGGTTATTTGCTACCTTGTTGATCTAGTTGGCTTCTTTCCGTACTTTTGAATACCATTTTCATTCTTACCTAATATATCTAACCGTCTAATGTTTATAGCTCAATCCGAGTGTTGGATCAAACAATATGCCAGGAGGTGCGTCTGGCCATGTTCTTGGAAGTCTGGAGACGGCTCATGGCACTTCGACCTCTCAACAACAGTAACTCGAGGTTAGTTCCTAATATGCTTGCTTCCGAACTTGTAATAAGCTAATGATCGTGTTTCTCGACCGTTTGCTTTCAACTTGTAAACTCATGCTTGTGCTCCCGAACTTGTAGGTTTTCATCGCGGACGCCTTCGACCGGTGGAGCTCATTTCATTGTTGGAGTATATTGTTGCTTGTATGGCAGTAGCTTGCTTCTATATGTGACTTGTTGCTTGTATGGAACCTATGTGTGGTACTTATGAACCTACATGTGGTAGTTATGGACCTATTACTATATCTGATGTTGTGCTGATGTGCTGCTGTTATATGTGCAGTTGTGTTGCTGTTTTACATTGTTGTGATGTTGTTGTGCTGCTGTTATTTATAAATGTTGTTGTTATATATGTGTTGTTGTTTATATTTGAAGGGCTGATGTGTTGGATGTGCTAAACTCGTCAGCTTTACAAATAATTGTTCACATCCAACATTGTCCTAAGATTCAATTGAGTCATTGTCCATCTTATTCTTATCAAATGAGAATCTCCCACGGTGAGCTTACGGGCACTTGCTAGCTGAGATCAAGGCTCTGATGGAGGAGAGGGAATTTATTCCCCAGAAAATTTGTAAGGATCAAAATGAAGTAGTAGATTGTCTGGCCAATTACAGCTGTGCAGAATGTTGTACTATTGTTTGGTTTCAGAGAGGCCATATGTGTATTGATGATCTTCAGACTGCAAGTGGACACAGGCTGCCCATGGTGCCCACATAATCAGCCTTCGTGGACACCCACAGATAGAGCAGTTGAATATGTGAGATATGTGGGCTGTTCCGCGGCGCCCACATCTCGCGATGACGCAGTGGAGATTAGGGCGCCGCCACCATCCTGCTCCGCCGAGGCCTCAACACCGCCGTCCAGTTCCTTCATGGAGACCGCAGCGCCGCGCTGGCCGTTCCCATGTCTGGTTCCAGCTGTCATCAGCGAGCCCCTGTTGTGCCCCATGAGGCCATGAATCGAGTATCGAGCAGTAGCAGCGGCGACTAATCGCCCTGGGGCCTGTCGCGGCGGGACACACGCCGCCTGCACCTCCCCCTCGTCCTCGATGGCGTCGTTGCGGTAGGTAGAAGGCACGTACAGTACCTAGCTGCAGTGCTACCCACCAGGCCAATGGCATTTCAGTTGCCCGTACGTATGTACCCAGGCTCCTTCCACCAGGCCAATGGCGTTTCATTTGCACGTACGTACGTGTCCAGGCTTCTTCCGCGTACAGCACCTGCTCGATCGACAAAACTTGACCGGGATGCGGGCTATCCCACTAAACCCACATACCCACTTAACAATATGCGGGCTTTCGCGGGTATCCCACTTACCGTATGCGGCAATTGTGGGGTGGACGCGGCCATCCCGCTTAGCGTCCCACTTGCAGCCTGAGATGATCTCTTGCCAGTTGATTGTAACCCTATAATTATTATGGAATACAACTCCCATTTGCCCGCAAAGTAAAAACAGTGTCCTAAGATCTTCGGTTCAGTACTTCAGTTTCAACACAAGAGAATACGGACAATTATTTGTAAAGTTGATTTTTCTAATACTCCTGAAAATCACATGAGTGATCACCCTGAGCTTTTCAGATAATTGAAGAAGACATTTTTTTTCTTTTTGCCAAAAATCAGCAATGAGCAATCTGGCAGCAAGTACATAAGCCGAACCAGACCGATAAAAAAACGACTGCCGCAGGGAACCAACAGGAGGGAAGAAGCGAAGCAGAACCTGCAACTTTCCTGAGTGCCCCAAATATTGCGGGCATAGAGAGTTAACTGATGCATCAAGAATTATCAATGTTTAGCATCCTACTTGGTGCAACCTGATGAAAATACCAAATCTTGCATCATATTGTGATCTGGTGAAATCGTACGGTCAACAGCATGACGTAGTCAAGCAATACGTTTTACAGCTTCTGTTCCAGAGACAAGTGTGTCTTCTACAAATGGTATAGTCTTCCATACTTTTAATCCTACTAGCGCTGGACTATTTTCAGGACCTGAAACATATATACATCAATAGTAATAATGGTGTGACTGAAAGAACAAGCGAACCAAACCCTTTGTCCCCAGGCTGGCAATACAAACCTTGACATCTGGAGTCATCCTCCATACAAACTGCCATGTAATGAGAACTATTTAGCTCTGCGAGTGCAAATAGCCAATTCTCAGACAAATGATCACACCTAGAGTTAGAATCGTCACATACTTTTGATGCCTGGAAAATTCAACGAGAGTCAAGGCAGATCAATAAAAATGATTTACTGTTAAGTTGTACTTCCTCCATTTTTGAATATAAGATATTTTAGAGTTTTCAATACGGACTACATACGGATATATATAGACACATTTTAGAGTGTAGATTCACGCATTTTGCTCCGCATCTAGTCTATATTGGAATCTCTAAAAAGGCTTATATTTAGGAACGGAGGGAGTAATAACATAATGCACCAGACTTATGTGATGTCCTATGATACATAAAAACCAGACACTTTTTCCCTAACCAAAAAGAAAGGACGGTGTTACCATGCAAAAGCCAAAAAACAGGGTAGGCATCTACTTTTGATTCCGTGTGCAGGCAATGGTTTAATTGTGTTGGCGTGATTGCACAGCACATGGTAGACCTCACGCGTGTAATATTAATTTCTGCTTGCTTCTTATTTTGCTTTCTTATTTGGAGATTTACCCCGTTATTTTTCTATTGAAATATTGATTTCTGCTAGTAAATATGTGACACTTCTGTGAAATTTGAGAATTTATTGTGAATCTTGAATGGGACCATGAAATGTGAAACACATCTGATAAATGATAAAGGAAAGGTCAAACAACCGCGAGTCTTCTCAAATTTATTGGATTGGTTCTGATCCATGTAAAATGTATTGAATTGTTTTGTGAAACTTAGTTTGGACTACGACAAAACCTGATTAACCTACTGCAGAATACGTGTCAAAATTTGCAAAACATTTGTGAAACTTCTATTGAATATTTTGGAACATAGTGGAGCCCGTGCAGTGAGAAAACAAGGTTGACAGGATATGTGTGAGAGAGTGGCGGGGCACTCTTTTATAGCAGCACTCTTTTCCTGATAAAATTTTATCAAGGCTGACAGAGATGGACAAAACAGAGGGTGAGATGCTATCCCGGTTGTTTTATAGCAGCACTCTTTTCCTGATAAAATTTTCTTAACATGACATCTGACCATTGGTTCTGAAGCTTTCTCACACATGTATTATATGTTAAAAAACCAACAGAGGGGGAAGGTCGAAACTGCATACCTTAGAAACCCGAATTCCCTTGCTTGTTTCCAACTTGATTGAAAATCCATTGAGTGGAGCGCTTGACAAACCCAATCCAAGAGCCTTTACATATGCTTCCTATAAATTTAGATATCAATAATGCTTTCATGTAAGAAATTTATTTTGCAACATCGTATCAGTAACCAGAATTGTGAATATTTAATTCAAAATAGGGCAATATTTGGTGTAAACCCAATTTTGGTGCTAATTCTTCTCATAAGATTCCTTTTTGGCAAGTGAACCATTCATAAGATGCCCATACGATGTGCTTCAATTTGATTTATTAAACATAATTATATGTGGTGCAGCATGTTAGCACTAGCTACATGTATCAAACCTACATTTCTATAGCAAACAAAAACAAAGTCAACTAGGAGAATGAGGTTAGTTCTATTTATTTTTTGATTAAGATATTTTAACGATTGATTTGCATAAAATTAATTTGTGTTCTAGCATTCCTCTTGTCCAAAGATACGAGTTGTTTACTGTTATAATCCTGAAATCATGTATGTTTTTCTTCAGTATTGCCATTAAACGGCCAAAATAATGCATGCTTGGATGGGTCACATTAAACCTGATGTATATACACTACCTACTAACTATTTATGCATAGTGTGTTTTAATCATTTAGGTGATATCTTAGACTACGTACGCGCAATGATATATTCTAGCCTTTTAGTAAGAAATGCCATAACTTCTCAATGTTCTACACAATGTACGCGCAATGAAGTGGTTGCATACGGAAGGGCTATGTAGTAGATGGCTAAAGAGAGCCTCGCTAACTTTAAGAGTCCATAGTTTGAAGAATTCCTTTTCCTGAGCATACGAATCAGAAATCTCAGCGAGATAATCAGTTTCCGAAGGGGTAAAAAAACGACAAGCAAGAGATAAAATACTCTTGGTTTTCTTCCGCTTGTTTTCTTCAATATCGATGCCAATCTGAAACGGGACATGACATAGCACTATCAACTGAATAACTTTCACAGCAACAGAAACATGGTCGTGTCTTTCTCACTTATAGCTGTCACAAGGACAATGAACATACATTAGCATCCATGGCAATGCCACAGGCAATCAAAGAACTAGTGTGTGAAATGTTGAAATGCAAGGGTAGCTCCAGAGTATCATCAGATGGCCACAATATCTGATCAAACATGGAAAACAAAAAAAAGGCAGGTTAGTTACATGGTTTGAAGTTGCCGAAAAAAGAACCTCTCAAGCCTAACCTCTTACCTCAGGTTTCGAAATTTGTTGTACTTAAACACAAATGACCTCGGATCGATTTTACAATCTGTATCTAGTCTAGTTTAAAAAAATAGCAGTAAGCAATAGCAGATCCGTATCCCTGTCACGCTATCAGTAACAACAAACAAAACAAGAATATGTTCCAATTGTTGACAAGATAAAATGCTGACAAGTCCAAACATGGAGGAGAGTGCCAAGCTTCCATGTTATTACAAGTCAAAAGGAAGATGGTTTCATTCTCCATTTTTATGATTCTTTACAAGAACTGCATATACATCAGAAAGTGATTGTACATCTAATAGGTCCTAAAGTGTTACTTGAGAAAAAAAAGCCATATGTGGATGCAAGAGGTCAAAAGTTACATTGTTCATCTTGAATCACATGTTCTACATATATTTAAGACAGATGAATGCACGAATGGAAGCCATTCACCTATATA